TCGGTGAACATGCCACGTGACTGTAATAAAATTAAAACTACAACAAAGTCAGGTGAACATGCCACGTGACTATAATAAAATTAAAAACTACAAAAAGGTCGGGTAAACATGCCACGTGACTGTATTAAAATTCAAACTAAAGCAAGATCGGGTGAACATGCCACGTGACTATAATAAAATTAAAACTACAACAAGGTCGGTGAACATGCCACGTGACTGTAATAAAATTAAAACTACAACAAAGTCAGGTGAACATGCCACGTGACTATAATAAAATTAAAAACTACAAAAAGGTCGGGTGAACATGCCACGTGACTGTAATAAAATTCAAACTAAAGCAAGGTCGGGTGAACATGCCACGTGACTATAATAAAATTAAAACTACAACAAGGTCGGTGAACATGCCACGTGACTGTAATAAAATTAAAACTACAACAAGGTCAGGTGAACATGCCACGTGACTGTAATAAAATTAAAACTACAACAAGGTCGGTGAACATGCCACGTGACTATAATAAAATTCAAACTACAAAAAGGTCGGGTGAACATGCCACGTGACTATAATAAAATTTAAACTAAAGCAAGGTCGGGTGAACATGCCACGTGACTATAATAAAATTAAAACTACAACAAGGTCGGTGAACATGCCACGTGACTGTAATAAAATTAAAACTACAACAACGTCGGGTGAACACGCCACGTGACTATAATAAAATCAAAACTACAACAAGGGCAGGTGAACATGCCACGTGACCATGGAAATGTGGTAAGAATGGGTTCTAATAATAACATAACATAATTTTACAACACAGGTAATTAAAGAAAAACACAGGGGGATATTTTTCTTCAAGTGACGTCACAAGTGCAGAAAACAGCTAAGAATAATTTAAAACGTGGAGGATTTGTAATAAAACAAATAGTAAACGGCCAGTAGGCCTATACAAAGTGTAACAGAAATTTTGGAACTATCGCCATCTAGTAGCTAATAATGCTACTACGGATAGTTTCAGCATGTTTTGGTGAAAAAGTCCTTAAAGTCAAAGTTTAGATATTATAGTAGGTTTCATAATTCTATATATTGTTCTGATATAAAAGTACCTACAGTTTTACATTAAATTCCTTATAGAAAAAAATGCACGCTTGATAAAATAACAGTTTCAGTTAATTAATATTTTATTCATTTAGTGAAAACGTTTTTTCTCGCATATCATAAACGCAAAGGGTAGAAAAAAGAAAAACTTAAAGCTTAGCATATTCACCTTAAATATGGCGAATCACGAAATAAAAGAAAATAATTTTGTTAGTTTGTCTGTTCGTTGTCAAGAGCATTGGGATATTTGTGATTTACCTACCGCGGAAAACGAAACCTGATTTTTAGCTTTATAAACCCTTAGAAGCTTCAACCGTTTCTCTAACTTTAGTGTCATCGTGTCATAGTCACGCCCTATTTCTAAGAAGCTTGTACTATTTTTCTAACTTCTGGGTTATCGTGTAAGAGTCACGCCTTATTTCTAGGAAGCTTCAACCGTTTTTCTAACTTTAGTGTTATCGTGTAAGAGTCACGCCCTATTTCTATGAAGCTTGTACTGTCTCTCTAACTTCAATGTTATAATGTAACATCACGCCCTATTTCTATGAAGCTTGTACTGTCTCTCTAACTTCAATGTTATAATGCAACATCACGCCCTATTTCTATGAAGCTTCTACTGTTTATCTAACTTTAGTGTTATAATGTAACATCACGCCCTATTTCTATGAAGCTTCAACCATTTCTCTAACTTTAGTGTTATAATGTAACATCACGCCCTATTTCTAAGAAGCTTGTACTGTTTATCTAACTTTAGTGTTATAGATCAATATTGTAAAAACATATGTATATATCAGTACAGTCACGCCCTATGCTTATGAAACTTCAACCGTTTCTTTATTTTTACCTTTATCTCTTTCTTTACAAAAAAAGAAACAGTTCAGTCAAGTTCTACTTGTAAAAAAATCAATCATTCTACTCTCTTTAGTTTGATCTTGAAATTTTGTAAAATCATCGTTTTAATCACGTTCTACTTCTACCAAGATTCAGCTGCTCTTCTACTTTCACTAAAGTCTGAGAACGACTTGAATAGGTAATTAAAAAAAAACCTATCATAAGTTTAACATAGTAATAAATGTACAACGTTTTGTCATCACCAGGACCACACTGAAAGAGACTTGCAACAAGTCGTATCCAGAAGGAAATCATTAAGTCTTGTAACAAGTGAGATTCTACGAACACAAAGGTCAGTGGCAAAAGCTGCCCACATGCACCAGGCAACAGTACGCAACACAATCTGAAAAAAAAAAAAGATGACTCAAGTGACGTGTACACAAGCTGCTTCCATGAAATATCCATTTAACCATCGCCTTCTTCAAGTAGCTGTATGGTCGTCGGATTTCTATTCGGTCAGACTGTTGAAACTCTAGCTCGTAAACCATCGTCCCCGTACATTAGATGGCTTATGGAAAGCCTACAGGGAGGAGGAAGTGTATTTGCATATAAGAATCTTATGACGAGGCCAATCACAACGAAAACTGCGCTATTGTCGAGATTCTGCATGATTGGTCGTGGCGACATGGGCTATAACTGCGTGGTTAGGCTCCATAATCGTTGTAATATATCGTAATAAACCTCTATATACGTAGTGTCAATACTTCATATACTATAAAAACGTAGATTCACTGTGGTGCGTATAAAGAGGAATCAAATCACCATACATAATAATATACACTTCACTACTATAAGAAGCCTATTCTTGCTCTTTCGATTTGTCATTGTCTAGAGTGTTAATGAGGGATAGATTTCCCCGAAACATGTATAAGTCAGTGACAAGTGCCGAATTGGACGATAGCTTAGATCTTACATGTATGTTTAGTATTTTAAATAGCATATTTTTCCAAAGCGTGTGAATAAAAACAATTAAAAACTAAATAAATATACACTCCACCACTATATTAAGCCTAGTCTTGTTCTTTCGACTTGTCCTTGTCCAGGGATACTGATGAGTGATGGACATTCCCTGAATCCATTAAAATCCAGTGATAAGTGTTGAATTAATGATAGATTGGGTTTAATGTGTTTCTTTTTTATTCATTCAAATCTTAACAGCTTGTCTGCTGAATAATTTAGAAGAATAAATTATTAACACCAATGCTATATATTATTTAAATTATATATAGATATAGATTCACTGTGGTTAGTGAAAAACAACTTAAAACACATACATATAATGTGAAATATACAATACCATGTATATTAATTAAATGAAAGTGTGTTTTTAAAACGTGATTTTATTCCAGCCACGTGGCTGCGTGTAAGCAGGAAGTTACGCTCTCTCATTGGCCAAGAGATGCGCTTAGATGTTAGTGGTTACTGTTCATAATGAGTGACTAGAAGACCAAACCAGATATGGCAAGAGTGAACAGGAAAGATTTTATTCTATTGTACGTGTAATGTTGTTCGTATTTAATTATTCTTTGTATTTATACGTTTTTATGGGTATATCTTTTTATTCTTGTTCATCTGTTGGGTCAAACAACAAATGAAACATAAAAATAGCAGGCAATCAGTAGATAGATATAGTCTGGTAGATTATACATGAACATGATTATCAGGACAGGACATAAAGGTTTAACAAATAGTCTGCAAATTGTAAGAGTATTCTTGTTTTGGAAACCGGAAGAGAGAAAAAGAAGGTTCCAAAGATGACAATACGTGTTCTGAATCAACAATGAACATATCGAAGTCAAAGTTCACGGAGATTTACCAGAATCTGTGGAAAAGGGAAACTGTAATAAAATTCTTTAGTTGACTTGGTAGTTGTATTTTGAAATTGATCCGGATGGCATAACGCTTCAGATCCTGAAGTCTACGGTAAAAGAAAAGCCGGGTCAAAAATCAAAGTAGTGTGGCAATAGGTAAAAGAGGGCCGAATGAAGGCTTTACACAAATACAGAAAGAAAGGTGGAGCGAGATTCCAGTAAGTTCTTGACAATCGTCAGCGTAATGTGGAGTTAGGGGAGGCCTTTTGTTCATAACCAGTCAAGTGGGCTTTCAAGGTAAGGTGTTTATCAGATATAACACCACGATATCTGACGATGTCGGAGATCCAGATGGAAACATTCTTGATCCGAATATCAAACAATGAAGGGTCGTAACAAAGCCGACACTTGTGACAAACGGGACCAAAGATAATGGCTTTGGTTTTAATGGTATTAATGTTAAGGCGCCAGTGGCGACTCCACACCAAGAAAACGTTTATAGCAGCTTGTACGACCTTACTAAGAGTGACCATTGCTTTGAAGGTGACAACAAGAGCAGTGTTATCAGCATATTGAAGAAGGTAAACTGTAGAGGTAGGGATGGGCATATCAGAAGCGTGTCAAATGTAAAACAGAGCTCTGTGGCGTTAAAAAATATACCACACAATGTTTAACGTTCATTCATCACACATATAATATGGTTATGTTCTTTTGTGGGTAACTTGTAATTGTATTCAGTGTCATGGTCTAATAATGGCTGGAGACGGCTTAAATGGGTAATGAAGAAAAACTTTAATATAAGTTTAACATGACAGCAAATGTACAACGTTTCGACAAGGTTTTGTCATCATCAGTGTCATGGTCTGTTTTCTGCTGATACATGTAGTATACGAAAATTATAATATATATATTTTTGCAGTTTTAATCGTTGTTTTCTTATATTACAATATTAAGTACACAATTTGTTTTCCTACGCATGCAAACATAGAAGTAAAGTAATATTAATAATAATTTTACTTAGAAATTACAGTGACATCTGTTGAGTAAAAATTATAGATCAGGGGCTAAGATGGCAACGTGTGGAGGGGGAGGTGAAGCTGAAACTGCTTCTCTTGGATCATTTGTCAAGAGACAGACAAAATATGGAAGCACTTCGAATCGTGTTGTTCGAAGAGAAAAATGTATTAAACATGTCGTAAAGCAAACTGATACTTTGCAAGGTCTTGCTCTTCATTATGGAGTTACTGTGAGTCAACAATGTTTACTCCTAGGCCTAGTTGGCTTCAGGCTATATCTTCATTACATAATAAAAAAGCATTGTTTTGGCTTTTCTTTACATATAGCCGCTTGATACATTAAGAATGATTGAAATAATAATTTGAGTAATAATTAATATGTATTTGTTACTTTATACATATAATAGATATTTGTTGTTACTTTTTTAACATTTTTACACTACTGTGTGATAAAAATGTCTGCTGCTATGATTTTACCTTGTTTATGAGCTTGTTGCTGTCTTAATTTAGGATCTTATTAATAAGCTTAAAATGTTAAAGAGAGAGAGAAAGAGGTCCAGTGAAGGTGTTTGCCCGTGCTGGCTCGCGACACTCCTGAGAATATATGATGCAATTTTTGTCCATTTCAGGCACAAATTAGGTTTATTACAAACTTTATAATTTTTAAGCTAATTGTTATGTTTTATTTACCACTGACATGATGTCAAATTATAACTTGTACCACAGTTTGAGAATCTGTGCCTTATAGTCTTGTAGTTTATCAGAGTACTCAACACACCCTCTTGGTGTATGTAAATTATATTTAGTGTCCAACATGCCTTCTAATGGTGTACATGTAATGTCCAATACACCCTCTCATGGTGTACATGTAGTGTCCAATACACCTTCTCATGGTGTACATGTAGTGTCCAATACACCTTCTCATGGTGTACACGTAGTGTCCAATACACCTTCTCATGGTGTACATGTAGTGTCCAGCATGCCCTCTCATGGTGTACATGTAGTGTTCAAGACACCCTCTCATGGTGTACATGTAGTGTCCAGCATGGTGTCCTGAACACCCTTTAACAGTGTATGTGTAGTGTCCGTATAAAAACAAGTTTAAATGTTATAACAGTAAAGCAGAAATTATTTCAGTCTACATACATGTACTGTACATACGTTAAGTTGTGATGGTGCTTTAGATGTAGCTAAACTGTATTTTGATGAAATCAGCTATTACATTATTTATATATATTACTGTATTTCACAATGAGTAAACAAGTTCATAATTTCTCAATGAAGCTTTAAATCTACTAATAATAGTGTTTTGTACAAAATCTATTCAGATGGAACACATTAAGCGGATCAATAAACTCTGGACAACAGATAGTTTATTTTTGAGGACCACCTTAGACATTCCAGTTCCTGCTGAATCATCTCCTTCCAGTTCTGACATTGAAACACCGGGTGCTAGCCCATCGGGAACATCAGAAGAAAGTTTTAACCACGTAACTCGGGCAGAAGAGTCCACGTCAGAGGGAGTACTTATATCACCGGTGAAAGACTGCTTCCAAAGTCTAGAACAGGTTTCAGATCGTACAGATTCCCCCGAAGAAGAAAGTACAGCTGACTTCCTTATACGTATTGACAGTTCCATAGCTAAGTCGAAGGATAAAGCAAGAACCTTGGAGAAAAATATCCTGTAGGTACAACTTCTAAGCCTAATATTTTTATGAAACCCAAGATTAGGTGGACAGACAGTTTTCATCGTGGTGACGGTTACGTGAATCTTCTGTTAGTGTTTGCACGTTTCTGTTATGACTACATTTATCTACATATAAACTGAATGTCTTTAGTTACTTTTGGTCTGAAAGCACTTGCATGAAAGGAGGACACCTGCATGCCTAACATCAAATAACATTTTAGCATGCCTCTTTTTTGTAAATGTTAGCTTAAAAGAAAGTCCATGCCTCTTTTTGTAAATGTTAGCTTAAAAGAAAGTCCATGCCTCTTTTTTGTAAATTTTAGCTTAAAAGAAAGTCAGAGTGGAGCAGAGTTATATTTTTTAATATGCTCGTTGAAAGAACTGACAATTTAAATATTGGTAGTGGAGATTTAATGGAGAAGTATCTGTAAAGAAATGTAAATTACAAGTAACATTTATAGTGTTCATACTATACATGTTTCTCATTTTTAATATAAGTGTACTCACTGTATAGTACAGGCTCTGTTCTCTATATATACTTTATATATAGAGAGTTTATCGTATTTGTCGAGTGTAACGTACTGTCAACAGGTAATGATTTGATAGTTTAGTGTATCTATAGAGTGTAACATACTGTCAACAGGTAATGATTTGGTAGTTTAGTGTATCTATAGAGTGTAACGTCAACAGGTAATGATTTGGTAGTTTAGTGTATCTGTAGAGTGTAACATACTGTCAACAGGTAATGATTTGGTAGTTTAATGTATCTATAGAGTGTAACATACTGTCAACAGGTAATGATTTGATAGTTTAGTGTGTCTCTAGAGTGTAACATACTGTCAACAGGTAATGATTTGGTAGTTTAGTGTGTCTCTAGAGTGTAACATACTGTCAACAGGTAATGATTTGGTAGTTTAGTGTGTCTGTAGAGTGTAACATCTGGTAGTTTGG